ACAGGCCTCGAGAAGGAATTGTATCCCGAGGAGGATGTGAGCTGTCAGTTTACTGAATGCTTTTTTGACACGACAAAAGGGGATGTGGTTGGTGAACGTACCTTACGTTTGAACACTAAGGAAAATTTGTTGAGAAGGACACCTGACTCTTTGGGGGATCAGTGCTACTTGACACCTAATAGGGACAAAGCAGAAGAAAACTCAGACTGTGGAATACCAGAGAAACAGAGGAAAACGCCGGTTGATTTTGCAACTGTAACAATTGCTGAGTTTGGGATTACTGAGGAAAGTTTTGCTAAGCGATCTCTAGGTAAGACTGGCATGGCTGAGAACTGTTGGCCTTCTCAGAAGGACACCTGGAGGTCATCTTGTCCAAGCACTTACCAAAAGCTTTAATTTGGTTCAGGTTCAGGCTGTCTGGCTGAGTTTAAATATCCCCAAGGATCGGACTTTGACGTGATGTTTCCCACTCAGTTTTTTTTCTGTTCAGCTGGTAGGTGTCAGTGAGTTTCACAAGGAAGCACTAAAAGACAAATTCTGCAAGTATGGGTAGACACTCCCTTAACTAGCAATTGAAAAAATAAAAGAAAGACAGCTCCTTGCTTGATATAGAGATTAGTTAATAATGCTTTTGGTTAATTTACTTTTGCTTGGGAAGGATTCTGGAGCTGAGCAGCTGATTTTTTATGTTTTCATAAATAGCATAAATCACTCTTAAACAAAAAAAATTCCCATTTTAAAGTTTCAGATATTCTTACAAAAAATGTAAATAACTTTTTTTTTCCTCTCCTCTCCCTATTTCAGGGAAGTCTCCAGCTTCATTAAAATTAAGACGAAGATCAACAATTGGAGTACGGGGGTCGCCAGAAAATAATACCCTTATCCAATACCTCGCCCAGCAAAGAAGCAACAGGAAAACAGAAGCTTTTACACAGGTGAGAGTCTTTCTCAAGTATCTAATGTGCTAGTTTAGTTCCCCCCAGGAATCAGCACGTACTGGCAGAAGAAGGGAGGTCTTGGGAAGAAGCCAGTAGAAAGAATAACCATGGCCTTAATTTTGTTGACTTCATTTGGGCACCTTACTTTACAGTGAGGGGACGTTAGAGGTTTCTTTTATGTGGAGTCTGAAGGCTTTTCTCCATGTCTAGCTTGCCCACGCATTTTAACTTTTGTTTACCATAATCTTTACTTTCCTGCATTTGGCACGCTTGATTTTTGGCTCATTAAAGTGTTGATAGTTCAAAGTGAAGTAAATACTGGCATAAGTGACTTGTCATTTTAACCAAAACTAGCACAGACTGTCAGAAACCAAATTCTGGTCTAGAGGGTCAGATCATGAAAGGCAGTAAAATTTAACAGATTTCTTGATACAGTTCCTTTTTTGCTTACTTTTACCACACAATTAGAACAGCAGCCAGGTTAAATACAAGATTTGCTCCTTCTCTGAGTTTGTTTAATTCCGAATTACAAATGCAACGTCATAGAGCCCGTGTTGTCTTGTGGGGGAGAAAGAGTCTCCTGATGTCGATTTTGTTTTAGCAGATGAGTCCTTTCAAACGTGAAAATGTCAGGTCGTTGAAGTACAAGATAGATGCCTTTCAGATGTCTTTTAAATCCATACAAGAAGCTGGAGGGGAGACTGGCTTCTCTGGACTGTCACAAGCGGATGATGCAGGCTCTTGTAAGTTCATTGTATTTCTGGTGAATGGTTTGTCTCAGACATCAGGTCCTCCTACAAACACTTAATGTAAAACAAACAAAAAATGAAGTTTCTCTCTGTGGTTTGTTTGGTTTTAGTTGGTGCAGCTGAGAACAAAGTACCTGATACAGAAGAACAGCACGTGGATCAGCAGAGTGAAAACTTCCTGTCAGGCAACAGTGGAGCAGGTTTGAAAGAAAATTTGAGGCAAAATTTGACCCCCACCAGTAGGTCTCATACCAAGATCTGCACCATCTTGTCTTCGTGCCAAGGGGCAGCTGTCACGGAACCTGCTGCTGCCCTTTCAAAGGTACTTACATAAGTGTGAGCAAAGAACAAGGAGAAAACATGAGGTTTTCAATCCTTTTTTTTTTCATTTGTGGTATGTCGTCCTTTTAATTGTCTAGCCTTGGTGTTTTGGGAAAATAAATTGAAGTAAGGTACTGGATGACTGAGAATTCTGAAATCCTTGTTTCTGGGGTTAAAAACCTGTGTAGTTCGTGCTCTTCTAAAAGGCAGCGTTTGCAAATAGTTATTTATTTGTCATGTCAGGTGAGTGTGTCTATAAATAGATGCTCTGAACTTGTATATAATGTGTAACTTTTTCTCTAGGGTTGGACTTACGACCAACACAGTCCTGTTGAGTCATTGGAGGCTGTTCTAATTCAAGATAACTTAGAAACAGGTAAGAGGATTCATCACTATTGTGATCCTTGTCGTATTCTTATTAGAAAGTAAAAACAAGCAGCATGTTTGTAAGGAAATGCTTCATGAGCAGGAGCTCAGGGTGTGTGGAGATTTGTACATTTGTAGTTTGTGTTGCTAGTGCTAAAGTCTTCACAATTCTACTTCAGTCTTTAATTGCCATATCTGTCTGCTTGCTCTAAAGGTGTCAGTTCTGACCACTTCGCTGAAGATGTTAGAAGTGATGTCACACCAGATCTAAGCAGAAAGAGAGTCGGTTTTGTGGAGGAACCGAGCCTGGAAGTATTTGGTGAAAGCAAGCCACCCATCACACCACTACAAACAGGAAATGCTTCATTAAATAACCATAAACAGAGTGGCTCCCACCTGCGATCGGTATTGAAAACTCCAGTGAAGCAACTAATGGAGAGCACAAAGGTTGGTTACTGGCTTATACGGACGTACTAATGCTAAGGACGAACTTCTGCAGTCATTATTCAACTACCAGAGCTTGAATTGTGGTTAAAGATACTTTTCGACTAACTGACATGCATCAGAAATAATTTAATATCATCACTGGATGTGTGTTTGCTGTTTGGTCATCTCAGCAGCTTTGTTTGAAGCTTTCACGTTAGGAGAAGATCCGCATGTATGTTGTTTGGTTTTCTTCATTTCAAAAACAAGTAGGTTTTTTAAACAGTAGGACTGATTATTGAATGTTGCTTACAGAAAAAAGAAGTTATTTTCACTTTTGACTTGAACAAGGACAGTGTTTTCATTCACTTATACTGAGCAGATGATTGTATCACTTAAATTTGCCAGGAATACTGGAATGATGCAGCTGACAGAGGAGGGGGTGAATCTCCCCCAGTCTCCAGTTGTGCACAAATCTTTGAAGCCTTGCAAACAGGTCAGAGACCCCTTTGTGACTTTTTTCAGAGAATGTTAAGACCCTTAAAAGGACCTTGTAAAGCTAAGCTGTGTATTTTATTACAACAGAGAAAGCTGAAAACCCAAAGAAGAAAAGAGTTACTTTTGGAGAAGTTCTAAGCCCAGAAATATTTGACGAAACTTTGCCCGCAAATACTCCGTTGCGTAAAGGAGCGACACCAGTCCGGAACCCGGAGTTACAAAGTCGTAGCCCTTTTGCAAGGTCGAGTCTCAGCGAAGAACCCTTGTCCCAGCCGGACTTTGACTGCGGTGATGTAAGTTCACTGTTTGTTTGCCTTTTTAAAGCTATAAAACCAGCCTCTCACTCTCTGTGAATCTTCCATTTTTGTTTAATTTTTTTCCCAGTCTGCTTGATTTTGGAAAGAAGTCAGTATTGAAACACACTCTGCTCGAAACTTTCAAATGATATTGGAAACTTTTCTTTCTGCTTTATGAATTCTAAAGAACGTTTTGGCCTGTAGAGCTATTGTTAAGGCTGAGTACTGGGAGCACATGAAATGTTTTTGCCTTGGCTTATTGGTGCACTTTTGAGACTATTTCTTGTCATATGTAGCACATGAGCTGCCCCATTTTTTAAGGGAAAAGAAATAAAATCGCTTTGCTGTTCTAAGCACACTAATGAACCACACGTTTTCCAGTATCTATCTGGTACAGTATATTGCAAAAAAAACCCAAAACACTTTTCTTGTTTAAAGGAATGTGTTGAGCCTCTTCAAGAGCTAGTGGAGGGTCCTGTTGCTGCAGAAGACCTTTTACCTATTGAAAATGCACAAGGTAAGCCCAGCTTGTGTTTTTGTCATTAGATAATGCATCTTTCTGTATTTAAAAATTGAGAGATGACATGGGGATTTTTTGTTCAGTTGATTTTAATACAGGGGATATATTTCAACTGTGCTGGAATTTCAATGCTCTTGCTTTCTCCTAAAGATTTTTGCAGTAGCTGCAGTGTGTCCCTGGTGTTTAGATTCGGCCTTGTGGTATTTTTCCATGAAAGCGGCTGATCCAATTACATTTACTGCTTTAAGTAATTGGGCTTCCTATCCAGGTTCTGATGTTGTGATTTGGATGTTCGCAGTTTTGTAACGCAAACTGTTAAGGTTTATTTTGATGATGCCGCGTTTGTGTTGAAATTGAGGCAATATTCTTATTTTTTCCTGTATAATAGCAGAACCTGAAAAATCTGATGTGATAGAAACTCGTTCCTCTACTAAAAGGAAGGTAAGTTCTTTAGTGATGTTTCATTTCGTTTGGTTGGTTGGTTTTTTTAACTTCTTCAGACAGAACTGTTGTCTTTTGTACCTCCTGATGCTTCTGAGGGTTTTTACAGCCTCAGGTGTGAGGTTCCTACATATTCAGGTGTATGGAGAAAAGAATAATATGAAAAAAGTAATTAATATTCTCTGAAAGAAGTAGCTTTAGGATGTCCTTTTCTTTGTATCAGTAGGGCTATACTGTAGGGTATGAATTGCAGCGTGATCCTCAGGACTGTTGGATTGGGGTGTATTTTTGAAAAAAGCAACCGTGTGCGCATGCCCATAGGCCTGCACCACACCAACTTAAATGTCATATTCCTCGACAGCGTGGCACTGGTTCTGAGGGGACCGATTTTAACGTCTCAGAAGCCACGAGCAGTAAGAATGCTGAAGGTACTAGAAATCCCAGACAGAACAAGATTCAGAGACAAAAGAACGTAACCACAACTGCTGCCAAAAAGACACAGGTTAGTGATGGCCCACTGCAGCTCGTGAATGCTGCCTTTAATTCTCTATCTGAGTGTCTTTTCTTTTATGTGATTATAATAATCTTTGTGGTAAAGATTTTTTTAAAGGATGTTATGTTTCCTGTTGTTGCCAGTATTCTTCACGCCAGTCTGGTTTCCCTCACTTGCTGCCTCACCCCTCTTTCCTGCTGCTTGGTAGGGCTGCCTAGCGGGGTTTAAACTCTTGCAGGGCAAAAAGGATCCTTTCTGGAGGTGAAAGGAGGGAGTGGGTGTCACTTTTCAAACTTTGGGGACAGAAACTGAGTGGACGGTTCTTCTCTCACCAAGTGTACGCAGTAGTAGTTCTTTGATCTTACCCAGTTACGTGCTAGTTAAATAGTGTAAAGGTGTGAGACTTCTAAAAGTGTTTTGCTCTCATGCATGGGAAAGGAAAGTACATATTCCTTTTCAAACTAAGCATGAGTGAAGAATCTATAGTTTTGAGCTCAAAGGCTACTTTCTTTGACTTCTGATATGGTTAAATGAAACAGATCAGATCTTGTGTTTGATCTCTCCTTTGCTTTGAGTTTTTAGATTAATTTGTAGGTGGCCGAACAAGTGGAATTTCATTTTGGGGGAAACAACTGTTATCTATCAAAATCCAGTAATGGTGTCACTTATTTGTTGGAAAATATTGTACAGGATCATTATAATTACATTGTGCTCTATTCAGTCTTCTCTATCTTTTTCAGAAAACAAAGCGTGCAAGCTTTGGTAAAAGAAGAAAGAAAAAAGTAAAAAAACCCTTATATGGGGAAAGAGAGATGGCTTCTAAGAAACCTCTTCTCAGCCCTATTCCTGAAATTCCAGAAGTTTTCTCTGCTGCCTCATCTCCAAACTCAACAGCAAATGCACTCTTGTCAGGTAACGTGGGTTTAGGTTTGTTTTGCCTTGCTCTTTGTGTTGCTTCTAACTTTTTATTTCAACAGTTAAATAAAAACCGTGGTTGATAGTTTTCTTGAGTTCTGTGCATAGGTACAGGGCCCAGTAGAAATTATTTTACTTTTAATTGCTTCTGTAATGATAGAGTCTGGAGTATCTAACAGATGAATAAACTCCAACTGGATAAATTTAGCTCTTGTTGCACTCCAATGTAAATCTGACAACTTTTATCTAAGTGAAATACTATAAAACTTCTGTTGTCATGTTTTAAAAAAGATTCTTGTCCATTCATGAGTAGAGTCAAGTAACCACGTGTTTATTGTAACTCAGAGGACGTGTTTTTAGATGACACCAAAGCTGGGAATTCAAGCAAGGATGTTGAGCAGCAGCCAGAGGTTGAAAGAAGGAGAGGGAGAGACATGTCCACAGTTCCTAGCTGTGTGAGCCCTGAGGAGCAGGACGCTGTAGAGGCCGGCAGCTCCAGCGATGGCGCCGTGTTCCCGCCTTCCGACGGGGATCTGAATTCTGCTGCAGGCAGCAGTCACAAGGTAACTCATATGCTGCAGGATACTGCTGGAAAGTAAGTCAGAATTGCGTTTGGTGTTGTTGGATCAAAAAAGTAATGTTTTGGGGAAGAAAAAATACTGAGTCAAGTGGAATGGGCCTGGAGAGGCCGTGGAATCTCCGTCCTTGGAAGGAGGGATTCAGAACCCAACTGAACAAGGCCTCAAGCAACATGAGTTTGACCCCCCATTGGAGCAGATTCCAACACACAGGACTCTGGGTGGGTTTTTTCAGAAGGACTAGACTTGATGAGGAAAACAGCAGCAGTTGTTTAGTTTTCAGCTGTTTAAAACCATTATTTTTGTGGATTAACTTGTGGCTATATTGAAAAAAAAAAATCAAACCAATTATTTTTTTTTCTTTCAGTTTTCAAATATTGCGCCAGATGTGACGTGTGGTTTTGGTACATCCAGTGATTTCCAAGAAGGTACAGAGACTGCGTGTGTAAAAGAGGCAGAAGAAAAGGGTTTCTGGATGGAAAATGACAAACTTCAAGGAAATCTCCTAAATAAAGCAGAACAACTAACTGGGCTAGAATTTCTGGAGCAACAGGACACTGCTGTACATGAGGCTGCCCAAAGTGTCCGCAAAAAAGATTCTGTAAAAGGTAATTCACCAAGAAGAAGTAGAAGAAGGAGAAGTAGTGCCTGCTATTTTCCTCCCGTTGAAAACTTGGAAATAACTGGAAGTGATCTTCCACTTTCTTCTTTTAATGTGGAAGAAGTTTTATCTGCTCCTCAGCTCAAAAATGACTCCTTAGAGCCTTTTAGAAGACAGAGCTATAACAATGGGGAGAGAAGAGTGAGGCGCAGCATGAGGTTCCACAAGGATACAGAAGCTGAAGGACTCGCGTGGATTCAAGTACCCAGCCCTCCCCTGCCAGCTTGTAAAATCAGGAGAAGAAGCACATCCGTCCTTACAGACTCTGAGAATATTCCGCACAGCGAAGAAAATCTCATCCAGTTTTCAGCACCAGGAAAGGAGAACAATGACTCTGCTCATCTTGCCGACGGTCCCTGCAAAAGGTGGAAGAGGAAAAGCCTGGGCGCATCCACACTTCAAGAGCCAAGAGCTTGGTCTCAAGCACGGAGAAGGAGTGTAACAAATCCTGTGGATAGGAAAGACAGAAGTAACCAAAAACACTATGAAGAAGCAGAAATATTTCCTAACAATAACATTTAGCGAGGTTTCAGCTACCTCCAGTTTTCTAAAGCGAAGGTCAGTATTAGATACTTATGTTCTTAAGTGCTGTTTTCTTCTTCGTCCCACTTTATCTCCTCACTTATTTCCTCACTTATTTCCTTTTTCATTTTCTGGATAACTTAGAATTGTTTTCTCTTGCCTTGATGCCTAAAATGGTTGAAGCTCAGGACTGTGTGGGAGCCCTGTTTGTCTACCAGACCAATGCTCTGAGTCAGTCATGGCAGGTAATTAAGAGGGTAAAAATTTCTTCTCCCATGATGACTGTGGTGACAGGTTCCTTTCACTTGATTGGCAGTTGATAGTAATCCATGTTTTGCTGACAGAGCTTTTCCTTTTTTTCTTTTTGTTTTTGAAAGAACAGGATTCAAGCTTAAGTTTTTCCATGTTCTTGATGTTTAATTGAAGTAGATAAAAAGTGGATTTGTCTTCAGTAGTTGAACCATGATGCTGTACAGTATGCCCTTTTAGCTCGAATTACTTGCAGTGTTGATGTTTCCCATGTGCTTGATCATTCCTTATAAATTGCTTTTGAAATCTGCATGAGTTTTCTCCCAGATTTCAAAAATATCCTAAAAAACCCCATGAGAGATTCTCTGCAAATAAGAAAGAAATCACTCCGGGCGTGAAGGGGAGAAGGTGGGAAAGCTGTTGGTGTCTTCTGAAAAGACTTTGCTTTACCTTCTGGGCACAAGCAGGGGTAGAGTTCCTGTAAGTAAGACTGAATTTTGTGTTAGAAAGAGTTAATGAATTCTCCTTCTCTGGTGTGAAGGTTAAAAAAAATGCTTTCAAGTCTTTATTGTATATAACATTAATTAAAAAAAATAAATTGGCTAAGGGAAGTGAAACATTCATCATACAATAAAGCTGTACTTCATTTCTGGACATTTCCAGGCTTTGGTGTATGTGTACTAAATACAGCACACATTATTCAGTAGTTGACCTGTCATTTACTGTTTTCATTTTTCTAGTTTGAACAATGTAATAAAAAGTGATGACTGTAGGTGGTCTACTTCAACGTTTGCTGTTGCTTTCATTTTTCATACTGTTCTGTTTCAGCCCTAGTGAAATACCTGTGCCAGCTTGAAGGAAATAGCTTTCTCTTGGAAATGATCTCTTCTGTGACCTTGTTCTTAACGTTATTGATGTGGAATAAAATACTTTCTGTACTTGCCTGCTTTTATAAAGCTTGAAAGCAAACAGAACAGTTTCATTTTTATGCATGTTTTACTTTTCTCTGCAGACATCATCAGTTTTTCCCAGGACAAGAACTCGTAAGGCAACTCGAAAGAAACTTCACTACTTAAATGCTGTTCATCTTATGCTGCTTTAGAGACATTACCGAAGTCATCAAAACAGTTTCCTTGATGTTTCATTTTGGGATTTGCTTTTGTGTCAATGAAAATTTTGCGTTTGGAAACTGAATGTCCATAGTTCCTCGGGTTGCAGCTCATCGCTACGCCGGAGTGTTGGCTTGCCAGGAGAGGGCAGTCTGACATGAGCTTTTTTGCGCTTGTAACTGAGTTTGAAAGTAATACCGTAACGTACGAAATCTTTGGAGAGATACTAGCTAAGGTTAAAATCTAAAGCTTCTTGAGATTAAAACTAATAATAGCTGCTACTTCTGACATTCAAAAAAAATAATCAAAAGAGCAACTGAAATTAATGTGCCAAAATGAAACGCTTATGCAGTGTGTTCAGACATGGCTCTCTGGAAATCCCATTGCATTCTCAAACACAGGGCACTACAATTGCAGCCGAGATATTAGGATTTACCTAACAGCTTTTAGGTACCAAACCTAGCAGTGAGTGAACCCTTTGGAAACTGTGGGTGTCGGGTGCTGAATACAAGACTTCAATAGTCAGGTCAAGTAAAGAGCTGTGCTGGAGAAAGAGTCAATAAACTCGTGTGTGACACTGCAGAGCTTCATCTAAAATCGTGCTTGGAACACCCGTTTTGTGAGGGTGCGTCAGTCCCAGCAGCACTGGCAGGTAACTCTTCCTTGAGGTTTCTGGAGTGGAAAGGCTTACGTCCGCTTTAGAGGTCAGAAATAGAAGAGCGAGAGGAAGGAGAAGAAAGCAAAGCTTGGATTTTCTTCCTGGCACAGCTTGGTTGAAAAGGCTCGTTAGGAGCCAGCAGTTTGCGTGGCTTGCATGAGGGCAAGGTTGGAACCCACAGGAAAATTAAGAGGTGGCGCTTAATGGGCCTTAATCTGGAGAGGAATTGAGAGGAGACAGTTCTTCAGTTGTGCAGAAGGCTGCTGTAAGGGGGATGGGTCGTAATCTGTTCTCCATGTCTGCTGAATGGGACAAGAAATAATGTGTTTAAATTAGAGAAAAATGTTAAACATTAAGAAAAAGCTGCAGCAGCAGAGATAGTTGAGCATGGGAATACACTGCCTTGGGAAGTTGTGGAATCTCCATCACTGGAGGCTTTTAAGAACAGATTAAACAAATACCTGTCAGGAATGACATATGAGCCTTCCTAGGGGTAAGGATAGGGCCTGGATGGCCTCCCGAGGTCTCTTCTGGCTGTGTTTTCTGATTGCTAGAGATTAGGGTTGCAAGAGGTGATTTGGGGCTTGAAGACCTGAGACAGAATCTGTCACAGAATGAGGAGCTGGAGATTTGCTGACACTGGGAGCTGTTTAACGTGGGAAGGAACTGGAGAATTTGGGAGAGCTCTTCATGCAAGGCTGGCAAAATGGTTCTAGTACTTCAGACGTTCACATCCCGTGTGACTCGCTGCTCTTCATCAGAAGAGAGTCTCTAGAGACTCTTGAAAGAGTTGTTGGCCCAGCTTGTTGGTCCTGCCGTGACACAGGAACGTGAACAGCAGAGTGAGCAATGCTGTTCCGTGTTCAGGTTTGCTTTTCTAAAATTGAGTTAACTTTAATTTTTGAATGACCAGCGGCTTCACTATCCCTTTTCAATCATCAGAAGAACTTCCTGAAGTCATCTCTGTCTTCATTGCCATGTTGAGCTGTAGGAGTTAAAGTTAAAGGTATATTGTGTGCTAGTGCAGACCAAGGGATTGAGTTTGTGGGTCTGGCTTTCAGCTGTTAATTGCAGCACTGTCTGGAGTAGATTTTAATGGTGTTCTGCAGCTTTGTTTGCTGTAAAGTCATCGGGCAGAAGAATGCCTAAAGTCAGCCGTGCAAACCCCAGTCGAGTTCTTGTTTGATCCGTGAAGCATCACTGCGCAGTGGGGCGGGGGGGGTCGGCTTGATGCAGCCTCCTGGTGTGAAACCTTCGAGTTAAGGCTCTGTTTTGACTTCTTCTATTTTAGTGGCATCTAAATAAATCCAGGGCATTGGCACTTACCTCTCATTTCCTCTCTCTACTCTTCTACAGAGAGGGTTTTTCCCTCTTTAGAGGGTTGTTACAAAGCTTACTTTGTGTTTAAAAGTACTTCACTACCTATAAGTGCTGTATTATATAGGCTTGAAATGGCTTCGGGTATGGTAATAGCTGGCACTAAGCATGTATTGCCCAATAATTGCATTTAGTGCATTGCTGTCTGATTATCGTGCTCTCACCTACATAGAGGAGAGGTGGTGGGTCCTGGAAAGACTGATTATTTTGCCACTCTGTAATTATAATGTCGTTAATAAGTAAGAGTAATTACACACCGCTCTTGGTTGCGCCATCCTACGAAGTGCAGTCTCGATATATTCCCAGATAGGTGAGTATCTGACAGCAGTACGGAGGGTTTCACAGCTGGACTGGTGTTTGCTTAGTGCTAGTGAGCTGAAGGTACAAAGAGCAACCCTCTCTATACCTGATTTCTTCAGAAAGTTTTAAAGGGCAGGTGCTAGTGTTTTCCAGGAATTATTTTATGCCGGTGCTTTGCAATAAGTGAGAAGCACGTCTGTCGCAAAAGCGGAGACAATGTGACCAAGTTTTCTCACGCGTGAGTTAACAGAAGTAAAATGGGTTTCTCGCCGTGACAGTCGTGCTAAGCAGAGGAAAGAACAAGAATTGGATATGCCTTTTTGTTGTTGTTAACTTCGTTTGATTGCACATAAAGCTTCACCTGAGCTTCAGCTTACTCTTCTCTACTTGCTTCTGACCTCCTGGGCACTAGAAGGGGATATTTGTAGGGCAGCCTGAGTGTTGCAGATAAATCTTGCTGGTTTATGTTCAGCCAGTCACCTCATCTAGTTGCTGTGCTTAGAAATGCACTAAAATGTTTGTGCTCTCCTCTTCCTCCTTCTCACTCTGAATTCTCTAGTGCTTTTACAGTTCACTTAGACCTGGCAAGACTTTAGTGGTGAACTGCTCTGCGCACGAGGAAGCAAACAGAAAAGCATTGTTAGATCTGTGTGCAAAAACGGAGAGACGGAGAAAAGGGAGCCATTGAAGTATGCCAAGGGTAGCTTGAGCAACAGAAACAGGAGTGGGCAGCGAAAGAAATTTCATTTTCAAGCTGCTAACAGGTAGGTGAGCAATGGAAATAAATCTGAGAACAAACTGTAAAGTGTAGTTTGGGATCCCCTCGGATTGCATGTTTTTAAAATTTGGGAGGTAAACAGTACGGATCCAAATGTTTGAACTTGAAGTAGGTAAGGTCCGATTTCTCCGCGTCCCAGTGGAAAAGATGAAGTTGTGCCTGTGACTTATGGACAAGAAGGCTGATGTATTAGTTTTGTAATTAAGTCCTGTAAATTGTGCATAACAGAGCAATTAACTACTTTAACCAAGCTTTGGAGGGGGAAGAAGAAAAACCTGTGTGCGCTGGGAATGAGGGCATGGAACATATTCCCTAACTCAAACCTGAAAAACCTGATGTTAGTCTTGGGTTATTTCCAGTGACCCCTTGACTCCCATCTTCCTGCCCCCTGCGCGGATTTGGAGCTGGTCAGCCATTTTTGTTTTTGGAAGGGAGAGGAGACAGATATAATGAATGGCTTTTATTGTGCAATATTTCAAAACCTTTTTGACTGCATTCGGATGGGATGGAAAATGTTCTACCCTGCGCT